ACGTCCGGGTGCCTCCTCTTTGGTCCGCAGCTCGAAGAATTCAGCCGCCTCGACAAGTCGATGGTGACGTGCATCAACATGCTCTTTGGCGGCTACAGCTACGACCTCATCAAGGACGTCAACGACCTCGCGGTCGTGTGGTTTTGGGTCAGTCAGTCAATCGTGACGCTCGTGCTGGTCAACATCATGCTCGCGGTTGTCATCACGTCCCACCAAGAGATTGTTGACATTAACCTCGGGTATGGCATCATCGATTTCCGAGATGCATTGCTCATGTTTTCTTGTAGCAAGCGCTCGTTTGTGGACGAGTTCTTCCTTGTCATGCGGGATGTGATTAAGATTTACATTTTGCGGCGCCCGGACCTCTTCAAGAAGCTCACCAACCGCATGGAGATCGAGTCGCACACTGTGTGGACGACCAAGGACGTCGCGCTCGGGATCAACATTACCGAGCCCCGCGCCGAGCGGCTCATCTCCAAGCTCAAGCACTACGCAGCGTCCGTGGACGTTGAGGAGCCGGTGCGCGGCGTCAACCAGATCACCGCGGCTTTGGATCGCGCGGTGGCGCCAAGCGGCCAGAGCGCCGATGCCAAGATGCAAGAGATGGACGCAAAGCTCGCCTTCTTGGTCGAGTGCATGAAGCAGCAGCAACAACGCCTCATTTGAGTAGTGTAGTTGAATCATCCTAGCATGCACCTCGAGTACACAGTCCTTTGCATGTATTTGTCTATCTCTCGGTCGATCCATACATGCAATTTCCTAGAAAACTATTAAAAAAAGTATTCGTTTAACCAGTGCGACTTCCTCAAGTGCAAGAGCCGCGACCCGTCGTGCTTGTCCAAGTTCGCCAAGTGCAAGCTCAATCAAGTTGCTCCTGTCCGCGGCTCCAACGGCGCGACGTACGACCACCTGTGCTACCCCAAGGCAAGGTGCATCAACCCGGCGAGAGGAACTGGCACTTGCCACGAACAAGGTGTGCGCAACGCTTAGGGCGTCGCGCTCAAGTTTTAGAACGAATGTTACTTGACGGCTGCAACCTGCGTCAACGCTGCGATTACACCCACCGCCTGCAAAAAGCCCAAACCCGGTACACTACGAGTCAACGACCGCTAACCCTGCAAGTGTGCTAACGAGGATGTCTTATAGAGACCAATTCGACGGGCAGTGGAGCTACCATCACGGTCGACGCGTCGGATGACCCAGAGCTGGGCGACAACATTGGGTTGCTCGAAGTGCCCGTCGACACGAACGAGGAAAGCTTTGACCTCTTTATATCGGACGATGTCATGACGACAGAACCGAATACCAGTATGGAGTCGAACACGACGACGGCGCCGCCGAATACGAACGGTGCAGCGCAATACGCCCGCACTGCGTGGGCGCTTCTAGGTGCTTGTGGGCTATCGGTGATTCTCATGACAATGTAAACGAGTCGTCGTCTAATTGAAGTACAAAGTACAAGGTCGTTCTTGCTAGTATAGTGGGCTTTCATTGTGATTGGGGAGTGATCTGGTGATTGGGTAGTATGGGTAGGCAACGTCACGTTGCTGGAGGGACGCGTTTGATATGGACACCTTTGCCACGTCACCTCAAGGAATCTACCATCACTTTACGCAACGGCAAACTAGCAGCATTGAGCTAGCAGGATCCACTTGACGGACTGCCCGCACTCGTCCTGACTTTGCCGACGTCGGAGCAGGCAGCGCCCACGCGATGTAGTACTCGAGAGCTCGCAGCCTTACCGTTGTGTTTGACGAGTGTAGAGGCACAGCGACCAACGCTCCTTCAGTACCTGTCAAGCGTGCGCCGCTGCCAACACGAACACTCAGCGTGTTGAGTTGTTGGTGAATTGTGACAATCTCGTAATGACCATCATTCAGTTTAACCAAGGAGAGACTCATTCGCTCCAGCTATTAGCTCTATACATACTTGACAGCGTACCAAGGTATGGACGGCATCGAATCGTGCGCAACGGAGCGAGTGGCGTTCGGTTGTTCTTCTCACACTTGAGATTGAGCCACGTCAAGCGTTGCATTATTGGTGGTTCTGGCGACTCGCGCCGCTGGGTTGTGACAACATCCCACTTTATCAGGCGCGAGCAAAATTCTGCGGAATCCGGAGTTCGGGATTCCAGCCACGTTTGAACTGACGCTCTCCAGACGGACAATGATTGTAGTTGTCGGGCCTCTTAGTAAACGTCTTCATCGTCCTGCAGTCCAACGATTCGTAGCTGCAACGAGCCGACTCATGCGCGCATTGTGTCCTGTGCGCGTGATGACTACCAAAGTCATGACGCGCCCACACGCGACACAGACACGGCACCGTATCAGCCTCTCTGCCCCATCGGAGAGCATCATGCATCCCGTGCAGTCATCTGTCTGCCATGACACGAACTGCAGCCACGGGAGAGCTATGTGTTTTCAGAGCACCCAGCGCGAGGGCTTGGCCCGCTACCGCAACAACTTGCAACAGCCAAAGGAGCGAGATCGACGCGCTGTTCCGACTTGGGTAGCGATGGATGGGAGTGTGTTCCAGCGTGGCATCTTCAAGAACTCGTGTGTGACCAACCACGTTTTGTTTGTGGACGTGAGCGTGTGACGCTCGCGCCGACCACAACAGGTGGCATCTGGTGGCATCGAAATTCTTTTTATCCAATCCGCACGCGATTTTGGGAATTCTATTTTCTATGGGCCAATCAAATGGCGCACGACGAGTGGCATTTGATGAGGTTGGACGTTGGCGTTGCCTCTGGCGCCGAAAAGCATGTGTCGCCCCGTGTGGAACACCGGGCACGCTCACTTTTCCTTTGGCGCCAGAGTGATGAAGAGCTTCAGCACGCACTATGTGCAAGAGAGCAGCCCCGTGACCCACCCTGGTGTCTGGGGGGCGCAGGACCTCGAGACGGCCGAGACGCCACTCGCGATGCTCGAGCCCGAGGCTATGAGCATCTCGACGCAGCGCGCGCGCATCGGACTCCAAGCGCGCCAAGATTTGCGGCACCATTTTGTCAACGTCCCCGTGCCGTGCTTGCTCTTCTTCGCCTTTATCGCGATGGTGTTGACGCACACGCCGATCCACCAAGTGTACTTGGCCGACCACGGCGTCTCGTCGTCGCTCAACCCCAAGGCCTCGGTATATTTTCCATTTTGCTCGACCGACGACTCATTTTTGTGTACAGGATGTCGTGCAGTCCAAGACGATTGTCAACTTTATGAAGATTCGGGCCATGGACGACATTCCCAAGTGGATCAACAACTCGGTGCTGCCGTCCGTCTTTACAAAGACCGCTGTCAACGGTACCTCGCTTGTTTCGAGTCTATTTCTAAAGATTCGATTTCTACTAGGAACGATCTTGCCGCCAGAGCTCCAAGGGCGCATTAGCTCGTACAACCAGCTCGTGGGTGCAGTCGAGTTTTCGATTTTTAACACGCGCATGACCAAGTGCGAAAGCGACTCGCTCCTCGCCAAGCGCTACGGGCCGTGCTTTGATTTTTCAATGGAGTCGGACGTCAAGGAAGGCGATCTCGCGACGCGCAACTTGCGTCGACAGCCGTGGTACACCATGTACATTCCGATCGCAAATCCGGATCCGTACGCGCGCTTTAAGCGCTGGGTCGACGAAGGCAGTGCTGGCGGCTACTTCCTCTCGATGGCGACGCGCGAGTTCCACGTCAAGATCACCACGTACAACGGCGAGCTCGACATGTTCTCGTACCTCCACTTTGAAATCCATGTCGAAGAGGGCGGCGCGTATACGCCAACGTACTCGGTGCAGAGCGTCCCGACCAACCCGTACTCGACGTCGGTGCTCAACACGATCCTCGACATCATCGTCGGCATCTTTGTCCTCGCGGTCCTCGGCCGCCGCCTCCTTACGATCAAGCGCCAAATTTGTCGCCAAGTTGCTTGGCGCTGCGACGCGCGCACGACGTTCATCGAGTGGTGCTCGATTCTCTGCGTCGGCTTGTACTATGCGGCGTGGGTCCAGATTTGCCAAAAGTTCTTTGCGTCGCACTTTGAGGACGAACTCGCCAAGTTGACGACGTTCTATGACGACTTGTACAAGCTGCCGCTCGCCGAGCAGCGCATCCAGATGGGCAAGAGCAACCAGCCCGACGTCTCGGACTTTATCGACACATTCGGTCCGTCAATCCAGTTTCTCTATGTGATTTCGATCGTCGCGTGCCTCCAGCTCGTGGTCCAGTACGTATTTTCATTTTTCGATTTGTGGAGATGATTGTCTTATCTTGTGTTTTGTATAGTGTGCTCGCGGCGTTTCAGTTTCACCCGACCATGAACATTTTGACCAACACGATTGTGGCCAGTCTCAAGCGCCTCGGCGCGTTCCTCTTCATCTTCCTCTTGGTCGTCATGGCGCTCGCGACGTCCGGGTGCCTCCTCTTTGGCCCGCAGCTCGACGAATTCTCGAGCTTGCACAAGTCGATGGTGACGTGCATCAACATGCTCTTTGGCGGCTACAGCTACGACATGATCAAGGACTACAACGACCTCGCGATCCTTTGGTACTGGGCGTCGCAGTCGATCATCACGCTCGTCTTGATCAACATCATGCTCGCGGTCATCATCGCAGCGCACGAAGACGTCGTTACGACCAACGAAGGCAAGCGGTCGTTCATCACCGAGTTCATCGCTGTGCTCCAAGACGTGCTCTCGATCTACGTTCTGCGGCGCCCGGACCACCTTCGTCGGCTCGAGACCATTTTGAACCAAGACGTCAACGGCACGACGGTCTGGACTGCCAAGCAGATCGCCCAAGCCATCAACGTCACGGACCTCCAAGGCGAGAAGACGATCCGGAAGCTCGAGGTGTTTGCCAATACGGTGTCCTCCTCGGAGCGCACGGTGCTGCCGTCGAAGGCAGCGTCGATGCTGGATGCGGCGGCGGTCCTCGCCAAGGTCGCCAGCATGGACGCCAAGGTCCAGGACGTCGACGCCAAGCTCGCTTTCATCGTGGAGCTCCTCCGACAGCAGCAGCAGACCCACCTCTAAGCGATATCAATTAATTATACCAAGAGTTTCCTATCTGACCGACAGAATACTACAAATCGAACTCAATTGGAGTGAAACGCCAGCGACTGAAGCACACTGGAAAATTTCGCTTTACGAATTTCATGAATCAAATGCCTCGAAGTCAAATTTCGTGATCCGCCGGACGAATGCAACCACATGATACGGTGGTCCAGCCCCGCCAGTCGTCCGTAACCATCACCACGTGCGTTTGCAGTCGTCCCGCCAACGGCAAAGCTCCGCAAAGCCCAGTCGCAGCTTCCCACAGCATTGGCAATATCACGTTTAGCAAGGCAAGACAAGGGCTCGTTGCAACAATATCGACGATCGATTTCTGCTACGTATATGTACCCTAGCCCAACTACACTCGTATATATATCTCGTCCATAACCACAACACTAATGTCCACTCAAAATTCATTAATCCAAAAAGCTGTTGCACGACTCTAAACAACGTCGCGACGCGCGGCCGGGCTCTGCAGCGAGTTGTTGTAGCTCTCCTTGTTGGTGTGCTCGTCGTCCTCGCCATTGTCGTACGCCGACCCGCCGTGTTCGAACGCGTCCATGCCCATGCGCTCGGCTTCGGCCGAGACGCGGAGGTACCCGAGTGCCTTCATGCTGCCAAAGATGATGCTGACGCAGACACCGACGAACGCAAAGACGGCGAGTGCGTACACGATCTGCGCGCCAAACTGCTTGCCGCCGCCGCCCTCGCA